AGGAATGCAGCCCACTTGTGACTCTTCTGCCAGTAGAGAGCCACCTGAAACTCACAGGATAACTATTTAAGACACAGAGTACAGAGGGAGAGGGAAAGGTCATACAAAGCAAGAGCTGCCTGAGTCTCCCTAATCTTCTGTATTTGTTAGAGACAAACAGGAACATATTGTTTTCAGAAAAGACAGCAGTAAGAGAACAGTAGGAATTATTTCCTGGGTCATGTTGACTTCACTTATAAAAAGTATTGCCAGAGGACCCTTGGAATTTGAAAAACACAGACCATCAGATAACTCATTCAGCAAATAACTTCCTGTTGTTTGCAAGCAGGAAAGTATGAGCTCAACGTTTGTGCCAAGTTCCCTAAGCAAGCATTCATTCATGCGTTCAAATTTATAAATCCATGGTGTTTTGGAAGCATGAAGATTGTTGTCCTCTAACACCATCTATACTCACAGTGAATTAGTTGTAAGTTTTAATTTACTGTATATTCCCTGTCATTCACTGAGAGAAACTGCAGTCAAACTGCATCTCAGTAACTATGTGTAATATAGAGCTAACCCATCCCAGAATTTTTGATGGATTTAAATGAAACAATGGATATAAAAATGGATGTACAGGACCAGTGGCTATTATAATGGTTACATCGATGTACTCCCACAAGGCCAACTGTGGTTTGAGTCCTGGACCCAGTCGCTTGAAACTCACGCTGGGCACATATGCGTGCATGCTCAAAATCCCAAGAGGAGAGTGAAGGAGAAGGGACTGCAGCGTGGCCATCCCCCCCCCAAGGGGGTGATTTCTCACTTTCTGTCTCTGCAAAAATCTCTCTCAAAAAAAAAAAAAAAAGTAGAATGGATGCACAGAGTGGAACACAGTAGGATCTAAATACTTGCCCATGTGGTTGTCTTTCTATTAGACCCTGAACTCCTTAGATGGTACTCATAAATGCCTGAGTGAAGGATTGAATGAATTCTTTTCCCTCAGAATATTTTTTTTAATTAAAAAAAATTTACTTATTTTATCTATTAACTTTTTTATTTTTTTGTAAGCTTGTTATAGGGCACATGTGCCCACCAGAGAGAGACAGAAGAGAGAAGAAAAGTGAGAAAGGTCTGGGACTCGGACCACAGTCAACCCTGGAAGGGCTAGCAGGTGGCATGGTGTGGTGGTCAAGGCATTGGACTCCCATATGGCTTATTACAGTTTGAGTCCTGGACCTGGCAGCTTGATTTCTCACTTTCCCTCTCTCTCCTCCTGTCTCTCTCTGATGAGCACACATGCTCTGTAGCAAATTAAAAAAGTAACAAGGGACCAGCATAGTGGTTAAGGTGATGTACTCCCACATGGCCAACCACAGTCAGAGACTCAGACCTGGGACTAGCCTGTGTGCCCAAAATCCCAAGAGGACAATGGAGGAGAGGAGACTGAGGCGTGGCTATCCCCCCAGAGGGTAATTTCTCATTTTCTCTCACTGTCTCTATTGGGCAAGTGCAAGTACCCTATGGCAAAATCCTTTAAAAAAAAATTAAAAAATAAATTATAATGATAAATAAAATTAAATAACTAGTTCTTGGGGGGTAATCAATAGTTGATTTCAGAGCTGAGCGTTCAGATTAAAGCAATATCCAAAGGATCCTACTCCTTGGGTGAGGGAAGGCACAATAAAATATAAGAACTTCCATGAAATTTATTGCTTAGAGGCAACTAACTGGTTAAAATGTTACAGACTGCAATTTAATTTGCATAACAATGGAAGAATTTGCATGGTTGCACTTTTTTCAAGTCCTACAATAACCTCCACTTTTCTGATTTCTTTTGAATGATGGACCTGCTGGGCAGTATACATTTTTCTGAGTGGGAGAGCTGTGGATTAGAAACAAACATAAAGACACATTAGTTAAAAAAAAAAAAAAAAAAAAAAAGTGAGGATCAGGTGGGCCCGACTTCTCTGATGGAGAAAACCAAGACCCCCAACCAGCCTCAGGTTTATTCATTTAAAATTTTTGGGAGAGGTTTTTGCTATAGGGCACGAGCTCACCAGATAGAGAGATAGGGAAACAGAAAGTAAGAAATCACCCCTGAGGTGGGATGGCCATCCCTTCTCCTCCATTCTCCTCTTGGGATCTTGGGCATGCATGCACGCACCTGGAATGAGTTTAAACCACCCGGTCCAGGACTCGAACTGTGGTCAACAACACCAGAATCCAACAACATAGCCATTATACCATCTGCTGCTGGTCCCTCAGGTTTATTATTTTATAGGGCAGAAAATGAGGGGAGAGGAAATGGAATGCAAAGCCAGTTGTTTTAAGATGTTAATCAGCTAATAATGTGAAAATGGTGCCAAGTGATTTCCCTGATCTTTTGGGGTGAAATCTGAACATGCGTGGCCTCCTCAGACAGCTACTGCTAGCTTATTCATATGCAAATTATTTCATTGTTATGCAAATGAAGCTCACAGAACTGAGTTTCTGCATGCATTTGAAGGTCATGATGTTTGTTCAAAACAAAGAACAATGAAGACAGTGAAATATGCAAGGAAATCTCCCTACATTGGGTAGTCAGAAAAGCCTTATTTTCTGTTTTTCTATGCAAAAATGAGTCATGGCTTTTCCAACAACCCAATATTTACTATTGCAAATGTTTTATATTCATACTTATGTGAAATTCATTGATGTTTTTTAGAAGTTTTTGCTATAGGGCATGTGTGCTTGTCAGAATAAAAAAAAAAAAGAGGCTGAGAAAGAGAGATGGAAAAGTAAGAAATCACCCCCAAGTGGGGATGGCCATGCCACAATCTCTTCTCCACTCTCCTCTTGGGATTTTGGACATGCAAGCAAATGTGTCCAGCGTGATTTTCAAGCTGCTGGTTCCAGGGGTCAAACCAGAGTCTGCTATGTGGGAACCAGCATCTTAACCTCCAAGCCACTTGCTGACTCCCTGAAATTCACGGACAGTATGCAAATCTAAAGAAACTTAAAAGCAGTCTTCCTACACTAGCCAGTCACCAAGATGTCTCCCAGCTATCCTTGCTGCTTGCATGCTCTTATACCATCCCTTCCCCCAATGAATAGGCTAACCTGTTAACCAGGAGGATATTGCTTCAGGGTGTTATGTGGCTAAGACACTGTGGCTTCTATCTTGCTCTGTCTTGCTCTGTCTTGGCTTGCTCACTCTAGAGAAAACCAGCTACCTTGCTATGAGGACACTCAAGGAGCCATGAAAAGGTCCACCAGGGAAGAACTGAGATTTCTCGCCAATACTGGTACCAACTCTCAGGCATGGGAGTGAGCCACCTTCGAAGCTGATCCTGCAGCCCCAATCAATACACAGGACAGCTGCCCTGGTGGGTTTATCACTACAACTTCATGAGAAGCCCAAAGTTGATTTTGAATTCCCACCCCACAGAAACTACATGTGTTGGGGGCGGGGCGGGGGGGAATTCTTGATAGTGTGTCATCACACTATGCTCTTCTTTCTCCAACCTTGCAGCTTGTCAGGACCCGAGAAGCCCATGTGCGCATCTGGCATGTTCTGAAACTGACGAAGTAATAGGAACCAGTCACCAAGTGGCCAAGGCAATGAGGGGTCCTTGCATTACCGCTATGTCACAACAGCTGGACCTGCTGGACCTGTTCATAGTTCCTCTAGGCCACTAAGTTTTGGGATACTTTATGCATCAATAGATGAGTAGCACAGTCCCTTTGAAGCGGGCATGACACCATCTTGGAGGAGTACCTCCATAAGAAGTGGGGAATGAAGCAGGCGCGACTCCATCTTAGAAGAGCGCCTCCATTAGAAACTCTTGGATTCCTGTGACTAGAAACTTGCCTTCTCCTCTGTGCCTAAGAGTAAACAGAGTAATTAGCATTCCTATTGTCTTTAAACCCCACTCCTCTTAACTGCCCTAAAATGTTCCTTAGTGATACAATCATCAGCCAGACCCCTTGCCCTGGGCTATAAAGACCATTAAAATTCTATTGTGTTTAGGCAGAGACAGAACCTACCCTGAAGGAGGATTAACTTGCTTTTCTTGCTTCTGTATTGTGCTTTTGCTTTTACATTGATAAAACCCTATCTGCTACCCTTCTCCCCCATCTGAGCCCACTACACCTTACCCTCTGAATCCTCACCTCATCCGGACATGACTGTGCATTTTTGGCCTATATAAGCTCCGTTCCCTTTTCACTCGGGGGTGCGGGATTTTGAGAGACATGAGTCCCCCGTATGCCGCCAGCTTAATCAATAAACTCCAATAAATTTGGCTATGTCTGGATGTCCTCTTATTTATCGCTGAGTAGACTATAACACTTTAATTCTTTTTTTTTTTTTAGAAAGAGATTTTTACTATAAAGACGCATGTGCTCACCAGAGACAGAAAACAAGAAATCATCCCCCAGGGGGACGGCTCCGCTGCAATCCCTTCTCTTTCATTCTCCTCTCAGGCTCTTCGGCAAGCATTGGCATGAGTTTTAAGCCACCACGTCCAGGACTTGAACCACGGTCAACTACATGGAAGTCCGGCGACATAACCATTATGCCATCTGCTGGTCCTCCCTTTAACATAATTCTTTAAACTTTAAAGATTCCTTACCTATGATGTCACAACAGCAGGAACCATGCTTAGAAATTCATATAAATTCCTTGGGACCAGCAGACTGCGAATGGCTACATTGCTGGACTTCCACACGGTCACCCGCGATTCAAGTGCTAGACCCAGCAGCTTGAAACTCATGCCGATCACATGTGCATGTGTGCCCAAAATCCTGAGAGAAGAATGGAAGAGAATGGGCTGAGGTGGCGACCTCCCCCATAGGGGGAAGGGTGATTTCTCGCTTTCTGTCTCTGCCTTTCCAGTGGGTGTATGTGCCCTATAACAAAAATCTCTCCAAAAAAAAAAAAAATTCTTACAAAATTCCCATAAAATCCACATTCTAAAATCTAATCCCTTTTCATCTTCTGGATTCTGACTGGCATGAAATGAAGCTGACATAATAAATCAAGCTTTCAGTTAAACATTTATTTTTTGGTTGTTGTTTGTTTAAGTTTTGCTAAAAGGCATATGCACGGGGCAGGAAGGGCAGGGAGGACTGCCATGTTGTAGTCCCTCCTCCTCTAGGGATTTTTGTGCACACACAGTGCCGGTGTTTCCCAATCCTCTGGTCCAGGACTCAAACCAGACTTAACCACCATCCAATGGGTTGGCCTCCATCTAGTGTTTTAGAAATAATAAAATCAATGTTTCTTGGGCCAGTCAGGTGGCAGTGGTTAGGTCGGCTAGATCCCACATGGCCGACTGTGTGGTTTCAGTTCCCTAACCTGTGGTTTAGAAATGCAAGAGCCCAGATTCCAGAGAGGAGAATGGGATTGGGAGGGAGAGGGGCTTTTCTCCTTTTACTTTCTCTCTTTCTCCCCTGCCCCAACCCCACAGGTGCCCACACACTATAATAAACTAAAGGGGGAAAAAAATGCACTGATATTTTAATAGTTAGCATTTGTATACGTTATAATATACTACCTATTTTTAATTGACAGTTAAGCAATGTCTCAACAATACATCCAGGAATACTAGTTTAAAAAAGCAAAAGTGTGGGGGGGGAGACACGAAAGTACTTCAGGAATATATAACTCACAGCTTAATGGGGATCAACTCTTTCCATTACACTGGTGAGAGATTGGAAAAAAATCTCCCAGTTATATTCAGTAGCCAAGAGGTAGTAGGAGGGGACTAATTTCCAGTTAGTTTCAAAAAGCCAAATAATCACG